ACAAATTAACCACAAGAGCTCATGAATATTCATCCTCTTCCCAACACACACACACACACACACACACACACACACACACACACACAGAGCAAGGCGAGGCGACAGTAAAAAGCACTACAGCTGCTGCATTATTCAACACACAGACACACACATACAAATTAAACCTCCCAGCATCAATAATTAACACCCAACATAATACAATATGTGTGTGTGAGTGTGTGTAGCTGTTAAAATTTGTCTTTTCATTACACACATATATGGGACACACACACACACACACACACACACACACTGTAGCCTATTAGTGTCACTGGTCAGGCTGCTGAAACTTTCTGCACCCCTATTAAACAGCTGTGTGTGTGTGTGTGTGGTCTCGGTCTCACTCGTCTGGTTTTATGACAGGAAGAACAGAGGAAGTGTTAAAATTGACAGAACAGAGCAGAATCATGTGGAACCTTTGTTAAAAGGGGAAGCGTTGCTCTGTCGCACGCCGCCGTTGGGCTCGGCTGCACGCTGTGATTGGATATCTTGACACCTGCCACTTTTTAAGATAAAAGCCAGAGTGTTTGCTCTCTGATAAACACTTAGGTAAACACCTGAGCTAACACCAGTGAAATATTTGTCTGGATTTAAAGTGAATTCTCTTCCTCAAGACGACATTATTGTCATCTTCATCATCATCATCTGGTACTCAGAATAATCCACCACGAACTCATGCAGAAACCAAAGCTGCCTGGCAGTCTGTCTTTACCGCACAGTCTCAGAGAAGCTTTGTTTCTAAAAACAACAGGTACTAAAAACGACTCATCAGGTTCAGGAACATTTGGGTCGCTGAAAACAGGTGTTTAAAAAAGTCTATCAGGGTGGAGATTATCACACAGTGCACCACTTTATTGTTTACATGAGATGAATTTCTACAATGGCAGATAAAGACAAAATAATGTTGCTGTTAATCTGACTATCTGCAGTTTGCTTACATGCTTACATCTTGATGCTCAATCATCCAGGTAAGTAAATCTCCAAGAGTTCATCTGGACGTTTTCAGTGAGAGAAACGTTTCATCATCATCAGGTGACGTCTTCAGTCTCAGCTGCAGGTTTCTTATAAACAG